TTTTTTATCCATCAATTTCAGGCAAAAGCCCGTAATCCCAATGCCAGAGAAAGATGCGTGTAAGTTACATCGCCCATAATTATGCCGAACTTCTATTCCAGAACGCTAAGAGGACTTCGAAAAATTGTGACTTTAAAATGGGCTTTTTCTATGTCTCCAGCGTCATGTAGTGAACATGTCTACGGCAAATGGCCTACAGTAGCAGGACTGACAAGTTTTGGGTCTGCTATTTTAAAATATTTGTCGCTTTCGCACGTTTATGGTAAATAATTGAACTTTCGCCTTCTGCTCACACTGTTGCCTTCGCCTTCTTCTGGCCTCTTTATTTGATGTTTTTAAATCTACTGTATTCGTAAAAAGAAAAAAGCATCTTCCATTTGCTTATGTTGGCTACTAATACCTGAAATTTTACTTTTCTGACTTTCACTAAAAGATTTTCATTGTAGTTTGGCAGCTGAATATTTATTAAAGTCTCATGAAATGCGAGCTAAACGAGTTTCATATTGTGTAAAAATTTCGAGCCAACATAAAAGACAATATCTATCCCTTTTATCTGCACTTTGTGAGCGAAATCGGAACTTGAACGCATCTCTTAAAAAATTACTTATTATTATTTTAGTAAATTTATATACCAACCTATTTTCTCAGTATTTCCGATCTTTCTCTACGAATCTTCTGGATTTAAACAATGTATTTTTCTTAGCCGCAGGTGCATTATAGCAGTAGAATATTTTATGTCTGCCGGCATAAACAGCAATCTACGAACTTTATACAATACCGTCCTTAGAAGCTCGCAAATGTTTGAACTGGGTATGCTGATGGCTGCCGATTTGCAATATTGCTCGCAAATGCATCGAAGTACAAGATGCAAAACGAATTTTCATTCCATGTGTATCAATATGCCGGTAAATAAATACATTTTTATGTATGTAAATGAGTATGCAAAAGCAATAATAAATATATGGCGATTTTGACAAATGTAATCGCTTGTATTTATCGCTACTTCTCTAACTTTGCTCTCCATTCCGCAGCTTTTGTTTTTGCAAGTCTACCAAGCCTGCAGCCTCCGCCGCAACTCCATGACTTGGCACAGTACACTCACCCCAAGCCGCGACATGCCGTTGCTGTAGCATATTTGCTGCATTGTTTTTCTTTCTTGTCATTGAAGTGCCAGCCATGTCGTTGATCCTTGAAATGGCTGCATTTTTATTTTTGCTACATTTATGAAAAACATTACTTGTGCATTGTTTGCAATTACAACTGGAGGCGGCAAATACTTTGTCGGTTGAACACTTTACGCGCTGACTTCTTGTCGTGGCCGTTTCCTACATATATGCTAACAGGCGCATTCATGTGTGTACGTAATTCGAACCTAAAAGCCTTTTCACCACTCATCTGTACAAGTTCCGCATTTGTTCTCATATACTCTCACACTTATGTAAGCACGGTGACAAGTTCGTATCTCATAGAAAAATCGCTCGTGAACCACCTCTGCTTGTTACCAATAACTAACTTCGAAACGTGCAAAGTTGCTTTAATGGGACGAACTATTTCTATTCCGGATTATATACTCACAAATTTATGCACATTTATATGTGTTATGTGTGTTTGCAAATATTTGGATACATTCTTACGAAAATGTGTAGGTAACCATCGAGCTAAAATTTATTTTCTCATTCTCGATTTTCAACTAGCCGTTTATTCTCGTCTACTATATATGTACATTCGACTAATATTTATTTGTATATGTTTTTGACTTCCATTTGTGTATATCCAAAGCTTTTAGTATTGTTTGCATATATGTATATATGTATGTGCATATTTCATGTATTGTCGAATTTCTTTTTGTCCATCTACAGCTATGAATCACCTTGACAAATTGCGCTTGTGGGGTAAGGCGATACGTGTTATGGCTAGTAAACATCAGGCTGTGCAGCTGCCGAAGGAAGGACAACCAGATGCCGGCCTAACACGCGACTATTCACAGAATCCATTGCACCGATTCAAGAAACCAGGCAGCAAAAATTATCAGAACATCTATCCTCCATCGGCCACATTGCATTTAAGTAACATTCCGTAAGTAGAGTTTAAATAACAGTGAACTAAAGTATTTACAATTTTGCATCAATAGAAGTGATAGCAGTTTACAGTTTAAGCTTTATTATCTACGTATAGTAGTAGTCCGTATTAAGATGTACATACTAATACGGTATACTTTATTTCAACACCCTGTGAAAACTGCTAAATCGTCTTTTTCTATAACCTTTTTATTTCGTAAAGTTATTAGGAAAGCCTACAGTTAAATTGAACGATTATAAATAACAGGGCGTTTTCGAACTTTTTGAATTATTTCTCTGAAAAAAAGCAATGACCAATGCCTATTTTAACAGAAAATTGATAGGCTAGATTTCAATGTCCTCAACTGTATATTGAAAACACAAATGTCATTTGACTTATGGCATGTGAATTTGTGGTTGCCACATCCAACAAATTGTACTTATTGATCAATATTATTGAAGATTTGACGAAGATTTAACTTAAATCTACTGCCTTTCGAGATTTAATTTTATATAGTAAATCTCAAAAGATTTAACGCCAAATCTCGTCAGAGGGCTAAATCTTCATTAAATCTCAAAGTGGAGACATAGTATTACCATGTTTAAATTGTGCACTCTGATAAAGATATTAGAAAAATCTATGAATTCAAAATATGCACACTCTATAGTTACCTTCTTTCAAATGGAAGCGCAGTTTGGTGATAACGTTCGCATTGCTCATCAGATTCAGTTGGCAACTGTTGAGCGAGTTGATCAAGAATGATTTTTGTACGATATATTAACCCCAATTACATCGAAAGCTGCCAACAGCTGTCTTTGCGTTCTTTACCCAAAAGTCCTTTAATGACTGCTTTCAATGCGAGCCATGCATTTAATTCTCGGTCTGTCAGAACTTGGTCAAAATCTCGACGACTCATTAGTTTCCGTATGTCGGGACCATTAACAACCCCTTCCTGAATTTTGGCGTTACTTAGTCTTGGGAAAATGTCTTTTAAGCGGTTGAATACTGCTGGTGTTTTTGCGATACATTTCAAAAAATTTTTAGCAATGCCAAGTTTAATGTGGAGCAACGGCAACAAAATTTTCATTTCATGAACAAGACTTTCGTGTAGCCTATTGTCTTTAGGCCATTTCCGTCCAATGCGACTATTCCAGTTATGCTGTTTGTACTGGTTTCTTCCTTTAATACCTTCTCCGTATCGTGAATCCCAATCGCACAAAAAACACGGATATTTTGGACGGCCAGATGCTGTTAAGCCTGTAATCAATGAAATTATTTTGAGGTCGCAGCAAATGCGCCACTGGTGTTCGTTATATTTGACTACTTGCAGAATGTGTTTCAAATTATCGAAATTTTCACTAGTGTCAGTGCTATACGCAATTGGAACAGAAGGCATTCTATTCGTCTTGTGCAAAAGCACAACTTTTAAGCTGATTAGTGAACTATCGATGAATAAACGCCAATCATCTTTTTTATAGGTTATATAGGCAATAAGCGAAATTTTTTGCATCATTCACATTGAAGAACTTTTTTAACTCGTTTTGGCGTTTTCGATATGCTGTTACTTTGGTACCTTTCGCCAGCAAATTATTTCCTTTCAAAAATGAAACCAGTTGTTCTGATTTTTTCTGAGTCAAACACAAAATTGCATCCAATTTCTTTTGTGTGACTAGGATTGGGTCCTTTGATGTTTCATAGGATGTACCTTCACCAGGGTCGTATTCTCAGAAGAAGTGCGTGGATATAGCAGCGGCGGTTGTAGTACTGATATCTGTTTGAAGATCAATACTTCGGTATGTTGGTACTGGAACGAATTCTGAGTGCGGTAATGGTAATTGGACACTTGGCACTGCTACATAAGTTTTATTATTTGCTTTCCTTCTATTCAAAGTTTAATTGAAGAAGCTGAGAAGCATATTATAGATCAAACAGAACGCAAAAAAGACTTAGTTTTGCGGAAAATATGTTCAAAAATTTATGTATGTCTCTTAGTTGTAAACCAATTTAAACCCGATAATAAAATGCTTTACTTTAGACATAATCATAAACTTTAAATATAAAGTGACCTTTAAAGTTACAGGTTACTTGAGAAAACGGCCCTAAATAGTAAAATTTTTCGGTATCAGTATAACCATTTATAATATAAAAAGAGTATTGAAAAATGTTAGATTTGTATCTTGGTTATTAATTTGATGATAAATAAGTTAATAGTAAAAACAAATATTTTTAAAGCAAGCTTTCTAAGTATGAACGAAATCGGACCATATTTACTGGTTTACCAAATGTATTGACTATTGCGCACCTATCGGCAAAATTTTTAGAGAGGCTGTCCTTTTTCTTGTAGGTAATATACGTTCTAACTATGAATCAAATCGGACTATAAATACAGGGTTTTCAAATATCTCGACTTCTGGGCCAACTGTTAAGTTTCAAGTACAGTAGATACTCTTCTTCTTCTTTTTTGGCGCTGTAACCGCCTAAGCGATTTTGGCCGAGTTCAGCAAAGCACGCCAGTCGTTTCTCCTCTGTGCCAACAGGCGCCAATTGGAAACGCCAAATGAAGCCAAGTCCTTCTCCACCTGATCTTTCCATCGCAGTGGTGGCCTCCCTCTTCCTCTGCTACCACCAGCGGGTTCCGAGTTGAATACTTTCAGAGCTGGAGCGTCGGTGTCCATTCGAACGACATGACCAAGCCAGCGGAGCCGCTGTATTTTAATTCGCTGCACTATGTCCATATCGTTGTAAAGCTCATCGTTCCATCGTCTGCGGTACTCGCCGTCGCCAACCCGTAAAGGCCCGTAAATCTTCCGCAAAATCTTTCTCTCAAGCACTCCAAGAGCCGCCTCATCGGATGTTGTCATTGTCCATGCTTCTGCGCCATGCGGGCATGATGAGTGACTTATAGAGCGCGGTTTTCGTACGTCGATAGAGGACTTTACTCCTGAATTGCCTACTCAGTCCAAAGTAGCACTTGTTGGCAAGAGTGATTCTACGTTGGATTTCAATGCTGACATTATTATCGGTGTTAATGTTGGTTCCCAAGTAAACGAAATTCTCTACTTTCTCGAAATTGTAATGTTCAACAGTGACGTGGGTGCCAAGGCGCGAATGTGCCGTTTGTTTGATGACAGGAGATACTTCGTCTTGTCCTCGTTTACCACCAGACCCATTCGCTTTGCTTCCCTATCCAACTTGGAAAAGGCAGAACAGACTTCGCGGTTTTTGTTACCGATGATGTCGATGTCATCGGCATAAGCCAGCAATTGCACGCTCTTGAAGTAAATTGTTCCTGAGCGGTTCAGTTCTGCAGCTCTTATTATCTTCTCCAACATCAGATTAAAGAAGTCACATGACAGGGAGTCGCCCTGTCTGAAACCCCGTTTTGTGGCGAACGGCTCGGAGAGGTCTTTTCCAATTCTGACGGAGCTGGTGGTATTGCTCAACGTCATTTTACACAGCCGTATGAGTTTTGAGGGGATGCCAAATTCAGACATAGCGGCGTATAGGCAACTCCTTTTAGTGCTGTCAAAAGCGGCTTTAAAGTCGACAAATAGGTGGTGAGTGTCGATCCTTTTCTCGCGGGTCTTTTCCAAGATTTGGCGTATTGTGAATACCTGGTTTATGGTGGATTTGCCAGGTCTAAAGCCACACTGATAAGGCCCAATCAGTTCATTGACGGTGGGCTTCAGTCTTTCACACAATACGCTCGATAAGACCTAGTAACCTATGCGTAGAAGGCTGATCCCGCGGTAGTTGGCGCGAATGGCGGGGTCACCTTTCTTGTGGATTGGGCAGAGCACACTTAAATTTCAGTCGTCGGGCATGCGTTCATCTGACCATATTCTGCACAAGAGTTGATGCATGCACCTTATCAACTCCTCGCCGCCGTACTTGAATAGCTCAGCTGGCAGGCTGTCAGCTCCAGCGGCTTTGTTGTTTTTCAGCCGCGTTATTGCTATAAGTACCTCGTCATAGTCAGGCGGTGGAATGTCGACTCCGTCATCATCGACTGCGGGCTCGGGTTCTTCTTCTCCACAACTTTCCGTGCTGCTACCATTTAGTAGGGCGGAAAAGTGTTCCCTCCATAATTTAAGTACGCTCTGGACATCAGTTACTAGGTCGCCATTATTGTTCTTAAGCTGAAATTAGTCAAGAACGTAAACCTACCGGTACGTAAACCCGAGTCAGCTGACACGATCTGTCTTACCAAAGCGCCATGTAAATGAAAACTCAACACCGCAGAATGTTTCTGTAGTTGTAGCCCGTAGCGCAGAAATCTGCGGAATTTAGATTTTTCCGTGTCAGCTGATTTCTCCTTCTTTAGATGGTTGCCACTTCGTCAGTTTTACAGATGGTAAAAAAGATATAAGTTCCTATTCAAACTATGTTTAAAATATTTGAAATTTACTATTGAATAAGGTTTTTGTTGAAAACTACGTAGTTTATATTTAGCTAAAATCTATTATAGCACGAAAAATTGTAGTTGAAAGGGTAAGTTTATGAAAAGGCATTGATGAGTTGGCAACAGTGTAGTAAGCAACACTGAGGGCTCCAGTAATCGACAAAATTCTGCGTATACAGACTGCGTTTAAGTATACGTTCTGCGTTCTCGACTAATTTCAGCTTTACAGGAGTGCGCCCCGGTCTTTAAACCTTCCGTAAGTCGCCTAACTCTCTGGTAGAATTTTCGGGCATTACTCCTTTCGGCCAGCATTTCAAGCTCTTCTCACTCACGTATTTCGACCTCTCTCTTCTTGTTGCAGTGGCTCACAGCTTATTTCGTGCAGCTGCAAAATAAAACTTTTGATTCTTATAGAAAGAAAACTAATGATGGTATCAAAAAAACGTTAAGTGTAAAATTTTAGCTACATATTTGTGTGATAGGATGGGTGATAAAGAAAACCTGAAAAATTAAGCTTCCTTTTATAAATACGTCAAAAAAATATTTCTGAGAAAAAAAAGCTCAGCTTATTTCGTGTAGCTTCTTTTAATAGTATTTTTGTGGAACACGTGCATCC